CTAATGGCTGCAACTTACATTCCCCAATCCCAGCGGGGGCTTAGGACTTACTACGGAAAAGATTCTCCTTGGAGATCAAGTTTTCGGAAGGGCTGACTTGGCTTACGTGATAGCGTGTCGAGCGGCGGTCCCATTGATTGAAATCTTGGTTCCTCCGAGAATAGGTTGGGTCCCCGCGATTCAGAGATTTACATAGATATTTCCTATTTGGCAATCCGAGCTGGAGAATCCGGACTTCAGACCTAAACAAAGGATTTGATAGAAATTATGATTCTCTCCTTTCGTAGGGCTACTAGTGACCTTCTTTCTGATCTCCAAAAAAGGGTCTTATAAGCTTTTGCCGCTCCTTGGGCGGATGGGTGGGTTCGGGCTGCTCCGAGTCACGATTTTGATACTTGTTTCTTGCTTATCTAACGCTGCATTCTACGATATTCTTTCCATGCGATTTGGCAGACAAATTTTCGAAGACGACATGGTATGCCCACGATATCCCCAATCTCAAGATTCTTTTGGATCCCATATATTTGCATATCATATATTTGGGAGAAATTATATATCATATGCTCGGGAGAAAATCAATCCTTCATAATATGATTCGTGATGAAATCTATAGAACTCTGTAGGGCGGAAAGCTTCATTGCAGATTGGAATCCAATCGTCTCTTGCCAGACTCGCCAGGCCAGCGCCCTACAGATATTTTAACGATCCCTATTGCTCTCTGTAGATAATCTATTTGGGGTCTGATGCCGAGGATTGCGCTTGATATCTCAATTATCTCGCTTTTCCGGTCGTCTAATTTGGGGTAGTGCAGTTTATCAGCTGCTAAATTTCAGGCGGAATATAAACGTAGAGATCGTAAGATGGTCCTCAGATATCAATTCCAGGGCATAGGATTTGAATCATTGGTCTTTGAATATTCTGGAGACCTGGAACCGGAGGGAGATCGTCTTCTGACTTCGCTTTGCCGAGCTATCCATGATAATTTGCATCGAAAGACTGGATCTATTCTATCTGTCAGATATTGAAATAACGTATTTCCTTCGTGATTCAGAAATATGGGTATATTTGCTTGCAGCGGGCTAGGGCTCAAAACCAGAGCCCGCCCAAAATCTATGATCGTTCTATTCAATTCCTATAATCATATTCTGAGGGAGGATGATCATTGGAATTATCGACAGGATCCCTCACGCAGGATATGATGATTCTGAATCTGAGGAGACGGGACCTGAAGCGAATAGATGATTGGAGATAGAGCATCTCATTTTCTCATTACTTCTCTATTTCGTTTGAGGGTCTGCTAGTGCGTTGTTGCTTTTCCTTCTTTCGGCGTCTTCTTTCCCGTCTAATTCGTGGCGGGTGGTGGCGGGATTTCACGGCTGGAATGCGGACGTCGAATCTTTTGGTGATTCTTTTTCTCTCAAACGAATGGGAAGATTGGAAATCTTGAATAACGAGATTTCTTCTTTTTCATCTCGGAAGCTCTCCCAGATTGATATATCGCGAATCCCGGCGAGACTAAATATCTCGGAGATTTTTGCTCGCATGGCCCCTCACGGAGATTTATGCGCTTCCCGGAATCGTCGCGCAGATAGCCTAAGAGAGATAAAAGAGGCGGAAAGATCGGACTAGATGCACCGCATATATTAATTGGTCATCTGATTTTCCGTTATAGATTTCCTCAAATAGGCAATGGGTCAATTCTTCTAGGATTTGATTTATTGGATATCCGGAGGATATTATCTCTTCGAATTATAGATTGATATTCAATTCATTTTCGTTCTACGGGATTCTGACGCTATGGGATTGAGATTCGTTGATATTATTATATCGTCCGTGGGGTCTATTAGTCGATCGATTTTAAATGATCCTTTCATAATCTTCTAAGTTATATTTCATTTATAGGATTGAAAATGAAAATATTGAGAGATTTTTTAGTAGAATTTCGAAGATCTTTGGATATATTCGTCGGACTTGATTTTTTTCAAAAATGATAGATTCATAATATCGATTATATTATGAAATCTTGATATTTCATATGATGAAATGAAACGAAATCATCTCGTATATTATAATTTTAGAAATCAAAGATATATGAGATTATAGATCTTGATCATGGACTAAGATTTATAGTTGCCCGCCGAACGTCCAAGAATCTAATATCTCGCTTATTTATCAGAATTTCATTCTCCTCTTTTGATCATGATCTTATGGAAGAATTATAGAAGATGATTTCTCTATATACGGAGATTATTCTTCAAATTATATGGAAATAGATATATATAATGAAAATATTGGAGAAAATCCAAAATTCTTAAATCCTAATCTATATATAAAATACGATAAATTCAATCTAAAAATTTATGAAATAAATAAACCATGAGATTTCGCAATTGCCGAAATTTTCAGGATCTTCTCCAAAATTAAAATAATCAAATTCATCAAGAATATTCATGCGAGATAATCTTATTCCTATCCTTCTATTCCTTCGGGGAATCAGAATGACGATTCAAGAATAGGATTTCCGGAATATGACGATCGTTAAAAAATTCAATTTGGGATATCATCATAGATTTCAATATTTGAAAGATCTAATTATATATGATAGATCTTCATGATATTATTATCTAAGATTATTTCATGATTGAATGATCTCTTCGCCGAAATCCGAAAATTCCTTTCGCTGATTTCATCATCAACTTTTGCAGAAATATATTTCAAATCTTGATTTCTTAAAATATAAATGGCGTATGCCCTCAATTTCAAAATCATAAGAATTAATGGGATCTAAAATTGAAATGCCAAGACCATGGCTTAAAAGATTGGAGGCATTTGCTTGATTTATACGATCTTTCACGGACCTTTCACGGATTTTCGGATAAAAATCTCTAAGAATGAACGGGCATTTCAGAAAGATTTTATAATCCTTTCTCCTTAAACTATATCCGTTCTTTATGAGAAAAAAATATACAGATGATCCTTTTCTAGGAGTCAGGTAATATTTGCAATGCCACGCCAATTTCTTAAAAAAGAAATCAGGCAAATCGCCTGAGGGATAGAAGCCATCTCCCTGCGATCGAATTAATTTCAATAACGGAATCCAATTTCTTTCGCGAAACATATTATTTCATTGAACGATATTTCTATCAAAGATATTTCGCGGAAAGGAATGATCCTTTCGTATCTTCTTTCGCGAATCCTTTCCAATAATTGAAACGATTCTTCGAATATATCACGAAGATAAAGATCTTTAGGATAATCTTTATATCAATTTTTCGATCTATCTAAGAAATTAAATAGAAGAAGAATGATGATAAATATATTAATCGATGATAATAATGGCTAATATTTTTAAAAAAATTATCTATCATTGAATATATCTATCTATTCTAATCATTTCGAAAATTTATCTATCTATATCATCTCTTAGAATCATATATCGACCAATTTCTCCAATTATAATTCGTATCACTCAATTCTCGAATATTGAAATGAAAATTGGAAAAAATTAGAGTGGACCCGCTACTTTTAATAACGGAGTATCGTCGTTCGAGTGACGCGTAACGGCAAGCTATCTAATACAGAAGAAAGGAATGCGTAGAATTCCAAATCTTTTTTCCTCGAAATTCGCTATCGCGTATCCTGAGTATGCGTTCGTATTTTGAAATTGAGGGCTACTAGATTGGCAGCAATTGAGAGAATTACGTCTTTGGGAGGCATTGCCATATCTATTTATCTATTCCTCCAAAGAAATAGGCGCCCATCTCCAGATATTCCCGGGGGGGGGGGGGCGG